TGTACAAGCCGGGGATTTCGCCATTTAATATGCAAGGCGCAGGAGCAGCGCTCGTTGGTAGCTGAAACGAAGCATAATAGGACCAGATAGCCCTCTTGTGCACTGGTCGAACTACAGGTAATACTCCATTTACACTGCAAAGCTAAAGTAACAGGGCTAAATTCCGTGAAATCATGCAAATGCAACAGACTTTAATGTCTATGTTGTAGATTTTTGTTGAGGAAAGCACTGTTTACAAAAAAAGCGTTACTGCTGATAACAGTTGATTTTCACTGCATCACACTTTTGGTGGATTTCACACTATGGACTTGTGATGACCTCCACACCTTATGTGGCGAAAAACTCTACGGTTATGGTAAGGGCCGGCAAATTCTTAGGAAGGGAACAGGTCAAACACCACAATGAAATTGGGGTTATGGTTGCACAGATAACTCGAACGTGTTCATTTTGACCGGACCCAGTTTTGATCATTTCAGCAAAGCTGTTGATATGCATGGAGTTCCCGGTGTGGTGTTAACAATGTTTAATCGACCGGTGAATTGTCTTATGCCGTTAAAAGTTTTCAAGACAAGGCAACTTAGCTGTCGCTGTCGATATCATGCTGAACGTTGATTCAAACACTATTTTCACCACGGAATCATGGCGTACTGAGGCTACTACAAACAACAAAAGATATTTGTGATATATTAGGTTTTTAAAAACGACGCCATCATCGTGGCGGAAACGATGTTATATTTGTGAAGGAATCATTTATGGCGGGTTTAAATTGCATTGAAGTTTCTATTTAGAGCACTCTCCTTGTTCAACAACAGTAACTACACCTAGGTCAACTCCAAGCCTGTTCGTATTTTAACGCCTGTTAATCACATTCGAACGCCATAACGATTTACTACTTGAGTGCAGGAAAACGATCGTTACTAGCATCAGACAAAGTGGTCAGACAAACTGCCCATGTAGCTTTCAGTAGTTTTATTTTATTTTTTCTGGTGACTGGTAAAGACAAGGGTAGTCCCCAAGTAGGCAAACACACACGAGATTTCATACATACGCAAATATTTCCTCGGTTGAAACTTGCGTATCACAACATTTTACAGGAAGAGATCAGCGAATGATCAACTCCCGTGTTCAGCCGAGTACGAAATTTTCACAAGAGAGAATTTGCGTTTGTTCGGTTAGCTGAACTTGGAATCCTTTTCTATTATGATCGGTGAACGGCGTCAGATACTTTATGTTTTCATGTTCTTGAAAAGCAGTAACCTGTTATTACGACAGCTTACATCAACGCGTCGAGTAATTATTTGACTGCAGATAAAGGAATCTAACGATCGGGGAAGTAGTAGAGTTAGGACAATTAAGCTACATAAATTACGCCAACTTGTGGAAAAATTCAGAAGTACAGCAAACCCACCCTTCCCATACAACAATTGGCTGCAGAGTGTACTTTGAGCCTAACTTGATGAATGCAGTACACTTCCAGCTTGTGAGACATTTGAGCCTTTATGGGGTTTTTATGCAATAACCTTTATCATAAGTGATACTGTTCAATACATAATAATGCCTGATAAATATCCGTCGATCCTGTCACTAAATACGTGGCATTGCGGAAGCGTCGACAAAACAGCTGTGCTGTGAGTTATTCAAGAATGTCCGTCTCCATAGTGTAGACTTTGATGCGAGAACAGTTACATCTCTTTTATCGCGTTTGAAGGACACATCCTTCCATAGCTCTGATAAAATACACCAGGTACCGCTTAAATATGACCTCTCGGCTGCTCTTATTTTGCTGTTCAAAGCTTTTAACACTTTTAAATCGGAATATTACCCTTGGCAGAGAAAGATAACGTGGTCATGGCGCGATACAAAGGCATAGCTTCCTTCAGTGTTGAAAGTTATCACCTCGCACATTACACACTCTTTGTCACCAAGATAATGAAGAACCTAGCGAGAAAATGATTGTCTGGCACAGCACTGAAAAACGTAACTGGCTGATTGCCAAATAAGTTTGTGTGACTAGTCCTAAAGAGTTTCCCAACGATATGACATGAGCCGCAGACTCTTGAACATCAATTGTCTTGGTTTTACTTGTGTTGCGTAAAGTGTTTAACCGGATACTGCATACAAATTAAAGAGCCATATCTGTTGGTGTTTTAAACATGATGTCAGCATGAAGAAAATTATAGTTGCTGATCAGAAACGAAGAGTACATTTTGACAACAACATTTCAATACGCATGGTACTCAGTAGTGGTGCAATCCAGACAGTGTACGTGGTCTCTCTTTTTCTTATCCAAATCAATGACACAATTGATAACATCAAACATAGAATCACTTGTACATGCCTGTCCACTTGCTCATGCCCACACTGATGTGTCTCGTTTCACCGAGAAAAACTATTTATTTATTTATTTTTATTTACATGCGGATTGCATTCCAGCTTTACTCGGCTTCGTCTCATGAAAAGTGAAAATACCATAACTGATCATTCGTCACAACTGCAACTGGTTCCTTGTCTATTCATACATAGTAATTCTTAAAACGTTTTTGTGGTTGTCTTTATCTTTCGTTACGCTTAACAGGGATAGGGTTCAGCATACTAACTTTGAAACAACAACAAGCAGGTGGATGTAGCCAAATACAGTTAATCCACTTTCAACAGTGTAGAATTTTTGATTTATAAAATATCTAAAGGATAACACCTCGAACACTTGATAGAGAAAGTTCAACGCGGAACATTTATAGCAACTTAATTATGTCAATTCGTCATACTGAAGTGCGTTCCGTTCAACCTCGCCATAAATGCCCTGCAGGCACTACATTTACGCCCAATTTTGCTGTGAGTGACGCAAATTTGGCACATGTGGAATATTTCACTTGACAACATATGCTCAATTATAAAAAGAACAATTGACTATTTGTCGATTTGTCGATACATGGAGACAGCTTCTCGCACCGTCGAGAAATAAAGGTTTCATTTATTTTCAATACACACCAGATAGTTATATAACGTAACTGAATAAGACAAATGAAATCTGGTGACAGCTGAAATGAAAATGATTAACGTGCTTTGAACAATTGAGGTCATTCGTTTGTTCTTCGAGCTGGATACTTCAGATAGAGACTTCTCATTGGGCAATTAGACCACTGCATCCTTGCCTAATTCCAGGTCCCAGTGAGTATTCCTCACTTGCTGCTCTGATTACCAGGATTGGATGAATTCAAGTGCACTGGGCTAGTAACTATTTTCTTTGTCCCGTTTGTCCCAGTTATTCTCACTAACGTTCACTACGTCTCTTTAACCTGGGGACATTATTGCTTTGACTCCAGTTTTCTCAAAGACAGCGGAGCTAGAAAGATTTAACCTTGTCACTTCTTCTATTATACAAGCTGCAGATACTGTAAATAGAGTACTTGCAGGTTTAGCAAGTGGGAATAGGATCTGAATCAGTTAGTTTCTTCGGGAATACCCTACAAAATGGAGCTCGGTCCCGGGCTACTAAAAAGGGAATATGCCGTTTTATTTGATCCAGTTACAAGCCGGTTGGTCTTTGTGCGCCAGTTGTTATATCGCATTTTGTCGCATTAAATATAACTGTTTTACAATCTCTGTGGATCGATGTTTTGCCTAATTAGAAATCGGTATCAACAGACCGGAGCATAGAATGGTGCAACCGGAGCACACACAAAAATCGTGTTGGACATTTTGAGAACATGCTGCTTGTTTTTTTTCCCTCTCGTTATCTCTTTCTTCGCATTGAATCGAGACTATTAGCGTTCTGCTGCTTTATTCATTTGTAAGCATGTGATGTTTAGATTAACAACCTTGTCAACAACCAATTTTTGTTTTTAGCAATACATGGTGAGTGCGTAGGCTCTTCATAGCTCTTAACTCATACGAGCAACTTGCATACTCGATGACTCAGTTGCTGGTGAATACAACCTAATCTTCTCAGGGATTTGTCCTAAATCCTTCACGTTGCTATAGGAATACGCGTTCATCACCCGTCTGCTCAAAGCGCAACTTATCATGATGTTTGATGGTCCCGGTTATCTCACACAGACACATCCAGCTCACCTTTTCAACATGGTAAAAAGACGTGATAGGAGTGAAAGTTATGCACTACAGTTATTAGACGTTACTGCACAGAATTGAATTGGTAGATTATTTCGCATTACCTTCACTTTCACATAAACGTTTGACGATCATCGAAAGTTCAGGAGAATATGGTAGGGTAGCGTACATGCAGGAGCAATGGCTGATTTGGAGATGGTTCACAGCTCAATAGTAAGTCAATTCATCTGAGCTCATCTCAGGATTTGGAAATCGTGAACTGGAGATTTATCTTTACCTAGTAAGGCGTATTTAATTTGATAATAAGGAGATCATCCATATCAGGCATGTGTCAATCGCTGCTTGTACTATATTTAATTCTGCAACGATACCGAGCTTTAAAAATAAGATTAATACTTGACAGTTAGTGTCCAGACATAGTCCCGAGTGGTAGTCAACTTAGGCTACAAAACGAGTTCCTGGCTTTCGGCGGACTGATGCTGTGTTGAAATGTACAGCCTAGTAGAGTAATGTTAGTAGTAATAACAGTAATAGTAATAACAACAATAGTGCTATAGTAATAAAACTTCATGCTTTAATTCGCTGTCGTACATGCTGTGACAGAGTGGCTTAAGTACGGCAGCAATAATACTCCCGTGGTATATCAATCAACGTTATGACAAGTAAACCTTGAAATCCATCAGTCACCAAGAGTTGGAAGGTAGCTCCCTTAATCCCACTGAACGGGGTACCGAAGATAGTGTGCTTGTTCCTTTATAATGTCCACTATACTATACTACTAGTATGCCTATTGAACGGCTGCTTGTTTGCCACCAGTGGTAGTAGATGTGTGACTCAAGTCACATTAAAACATTAGTATGATGGCAGAGGCTCCTGGAACCTGGTTTTGTTCGTTTCTACTTTTATTTCTCTTTGTCAGATCATTTAATTCCGATGAAACGGATCGGGTGTTCAACTAGCTATAGGTAGTTGCAATACCATAAGCTGAAAAAAAGATGGGATTTAAAACAGTGTTTTAATGTACCGGTGTACAGTTCTACTTTGTTACATGCTGTAAACCAACTTTCACTCGGCTGTGGTGTATGGAAATTGGTAGAACTATTAACACACCGACTCCAGTGCAGGAAATATGATAGTCAGTCGACGTTGCCAACATTCCACCTAGTTCTGTCAACCTGGTTTAGCATAAGTGAACAGTCAATGATAAGCGAGATGGAATAACAGAGTTCACATTCCTTGAAGTTTTCTTGGAGAATTTCTTTCACCATTTCTTCACGGTAGGCCCGGTTGACGTTTCTCATTATATCCCGTGACTTTTGGCATGTTTACTACATAACAGAAAAGAACAGAAAGACGTAAACAGTGCCACATTAAATACCGTTATCCACCGGAACAACGCGCAGGTTGCCAGTGATAGGCATTAATTTTTTGTTTCCTTTAGTCTTAGAACTCTCATTGTATTGTTTTGAGAGCATAATTTCGAAGTGACAATTGGCTGTTGGTTAACTTACTGTAGGGCCACATGCAGGACAGTCGCCATATTAGCAAGTCGAAACCGCAAAATAGCCAACACGCATTTATCGGAAATGTGCTCGAGCCCTGCAACGAGCGTCAGTTAGCTAATGGCAGATATCTCAGTGATCGAATACCAGTCAGCTGGAGGTACAAAACTATCAGGTGGGTGGGCACAATGGTTGCAACTAGAGTACCGGGCAGGGTAAACATGCGTGTTCGATTTGGTGAGAAGGTCGGTAAGCTGTCCACATTCCCAAGTTTTCAACAGTTAGTTACTGTGCGTAGTTTATTTTTCAATCAAATGGCGCGAGTTCATTATCCGTTTTTCAACTATTTTTGATCGATTTATTAAGAAGAGTTGTGATCAAATTGTACATAACTATACAACTTTCTCTTAAAATGGCAGTTAACCACTGACCACGAAATACATTAGTATAAGACCATTCTAAGTATGATTTCAGCCGTTAGTCTGCCAGGAACCCTTGCATATAACTACTTTAGCTATTCAAATTTGTGAATGCGATGATGACACTAGCAGTTGCAAATTCTTTAGTGCTTCAAGTTTGACTTTTCTTAAACAAAATGTGTCTCGCTGCACAAGTCAGTCAGGAATGGTTGCTTCATCTAATTTGTTCACCTTGTTTAGAAATGATGAAAATATCTGTCCTCAGCCCAATTTTCTATTCCCCTTTCTATATATCTACCCACGTCGGCTGAGTTACGCTTTTAAGCGAATTTTTAAAGCAGATTTTATTTGTGCAATCTCGCATCAGAAACCAAGTAAGCACGCTATTTCTATATTTGGCTCAAACATGAAAAGCTTCATACTTGACTCAAGCATTTGAAGAAATGGATTTTGTAGGCGGTGCATGGCATCTACCGGTAGCTATCTTCTGTGTTATTTCAGATCGGCCTGGCTCCTCTTTTCTCCTTACTTTACAATATGATGTAGAATTGTTTGTGTTTACAAATTCTGAAGTAATTATTCCACTACTCATTAAGGCCTTACATTAGCCGGGCTAAAGCACAATGGGTGGCGGTTAGGGTGTATGACAACATTCAGAAACTGACAGCATCTTACATTTTCATGTTTGCCCCTTAAAACACGGTACTTGAGCATCGGCAGGTGTCTATTGATGAATAAGACATTTGAATCGAGTGAACCGGATATTTGAACGCTAATATGCATAGCCAATATAAATTATCTCTGGCCTGTGTGTAAAACGATTATGCGCGTCCAGTCCACTCAGGTAAATTGGGGGATAAAATCGTACTAATTTGACTGAACCGTGACCTGCAGTGCGGAAGCAACTACTGCCCGTTTCTCAGTAGTCATATTTGCAAAGGCATTTTATGTGTTATGCTTTTTATTTCCTATAAATCTGACAAGTTTATATGGCAGTACATTCATTCCTACAACCTGCGTCTATTTACCATGATGGCTACTGGGAGCAGAGCTCAGTCAACGGTCAGTCCGTCGCGTTATGCGAAACTATAACTGAAATCTTCCAACGACCAATCAACTAACGATGTCATCAATTGTTAATATACCATTATGCGCATTCGAATCATGCAAGTTAAACTGAAACGTCGATAGCACGGTTGGGCTTTCGTTTTTTGTGCACAGAAGGAAGCAATTACATTCGATGAAAATGTTCACCCAGCCGAACAAAACTAGCAAAATCATTTCAAGCGAAATTGTGTCCGTAGCAAGTGGACTCACTAGAGTACGATGCCTGCTTCTTAACGGTACAGTGCTGGTCCTATGAAATGATAAACAGGAAACGGAGGTGGATAGAAGAAATAACTCTTTGGTTGACACATGAAGTTGATGAAGGTGTGATAAACAAGGCACAAGAAATCTAATGAGAATATTAACCATAGGGTCTTCGGGACAGATTACTTTTTATTTTACTAAGTCCTCGGAAGTTGCCAGATTTCAGATAAGAGCACATCGTTTAATGGCGTCCGTCGTCTAATTTGCACTATGGAGGGTGTCTTTAGCGGTTGAGCAAGTCTGATTTCAAGTACGTTGGTTACCAAGATATAAAACATAAACGGTATCTCTGTTTGCACGGTAGGTCCGAGAAATATCGTCAAGACATGGAGATGCTCTGTCGTATGGATTTCGTCTAACCAACCCAATTCAGGATGGGATTCACTTATCTTCAGGTGAATAAAAACGGGAAATGTTTTAAACACCTTGATGATTTCTGCAGCACCTGTGCACGATCATCTCTGGGAGTTGTGGCTAACAAATGGGTACAGAGCAAAACCTGCCCACCAGTACAGATGAGGATTAATTGATAGACATCAATATTTATTCTTGTAAGTGACAGCTAAATAATAACCAAGGGCACGAAACCGGAGCAAAAAGGTTAGATTGGAAAAAATGTCGCAGTGCATGTTAAATGAGAATTTTATCAAACCATAGGCCTTTGCACGTGTCCCACATGGAACCAAGGTGACTAAGATTTGTGAACATTGTAAATTTTAAATTTTATTAATCACCTTGTAAACTCCAGGGTGTTACACTCGTCTACCCAATACACAGTTGCGTTTGGCTTATTCAACGGAATACGCTTTCTCAGAGGCACTGAAATTGGGAACGAGCATGCACTCCTTCCTGGAATAAAAAATATCAAACTACGGCTGTTCTATTTGGTTATGTGAAACCATGTTGCTGGCTTCACGTGTGCTACCCGGTAAGTTAAATTTCCTTGTAGTAAGACTTAGACGCAGATCAAACCATCGTACTCATCTGAATGTGACATTTGTGCTATTTTCACCGCATTTTCGTGTCGTACTAGACTTACCAAACTGTCGAAATTGATATTGGTCCTTACCGAACGGTTGTTGATTGGCTGGACTGGCCTGAAGTTGTCTGCCATTGCACCGGACCACAAGGTTTGGTTGACCTGAATGCGCCTGAGGGTTTTTAGCTACATGAATGACACAAGGAGTAAACGTTCAACGAAAAGCTGCTTAGTGAGCGTCAAGTTATAACATCATTATTCTTCAATGATATCCGTCTTTTTACCGGATAACCAGGGTCGCTGACCTGGACAAACCCAGAACTAGATGCTGTGGTGCTAACTTAATCAAATACTTTTATCTCATTATTTATGTATATAGATGGTGGAATTATCGAGAGTTACTACAACGCATAGCGAGCCCTGACGTAGCGGTTTGGCGAAATAAAAAATAGACTGTAATTGTCTCAACAGGGCAGTGAACAAGTTAAGCAAGCCGCCCAACACAGTCGAAGTAAACATGTATTAATCAACCATAAATGCCGTCAGATGCATTTAATATAATGCAGTTATTACAATAAAATGATTTTTAATGGGAGACATTTTTATATGTGCTTTTTTGATAAAGTGACATGAGACTAATTCTTGTTATCCGGGCAATTAATTAGCTTAAGTATCTGAATTCAAATACTATTACTTTAGTTCATATTTGCAGAGCATCGCAGCGTATTTTGAATCACCATAAACAACAATTGTTAAGAAGGTTTGCCGGACTGAAAATAACAATAGCACCGGTTTCGTCGAGTAAGGCGTATGTTACTCCAATCAGTTTGACCTTTCAGCTTCAAGAGTGAATGTACATAAGCAGTTTCTGCAAGTGCTTCGCTACCACACAATATCACCATATCTACCAATAAAGCGCAGGAAAAGGGATAGCTTATTAGATTTAACACCAAAACCTACGACGCAAGCACTCATAATAAAGGAATCTACACCTTGACAACACCGAGCAGTCAAAAGCAGCTGGGTACCCAGATAATACAGCGGGATCTGTGAGATCGCTTTCTTTCAACTTTCAGCAAATGCTATCTTCATCGGACTTGTCATACCGGAAAATACATCAAATTGAAAGCAGGTTTAGGATGCGGTCCTGTATGCCATTGGTGACGGCAGATGTGAAGATCCCATACTCATTTAAAGATGTACAGATTGTGGTACAACAAGATAGTTCTAATGGTGAAACAGACGGACAGTGCCAAGTTTAGGCCCGGGTGATACCATTTTCGACAATCGCACCAGTGATCGTCTCTTGGAATCTCACCACATCACAGACCGGTTGAACATGACTAAGCTTCCCTGTTAGGTTAATAGAGATTTAATTAATACACGCCCAGATCAGCGCAACTTGTTTAGACCTGTTTGTAGGCCTGAAGGAGTCATTTACTCTTTGCTTTTATGAGCAAAGTCACGTTTCATTATTTCTAATGCGTTAGTACCATCCACCGTCAAAGATGCTCAGTAGTTCACGACATTCAACGTCCTGAATTCACCCGAGAGCTTCAGAGCTTCAAGTGACAAACCCCACTATCTCAAATGTTGGACTCTTTCATCTGGCCTAAGAAACAGAAATGAATTCCCTAGGAATACACAACTTTCGGTATCGGCACGTGCGGGGAGACCACCTAATGTTGTAGCAAATCCTGAAGAACCCAGGTTATATTTGCTGCTCTCTTCTAGAACTTAGTCACTAAAGCAACTTGAGTGGTCATCGCTTAAGGTTGGCGGTGGAACGATCTCAAGGTATACGTTGTTTACACACCTAAGTTAACAAGACTAAAAAATACTTAATGACACACTGCGCTATTGTTTTATTTCATAAATTGTCTTCACCAAGAACAAACTTAAAATAACCAACTGGTACACCCCAGAATCTTAACCAAGTGGGTTTTCAATTCTTGCATGCAACAGCTCGATGAATTCACTAGTGTGCACGCAACCTCGTTGAAAAATACTCTTCGGTAATTCCGCCATTCACATTTATACCTACTTATGAGACCAGTTTAGCATTGGCTTCTTTAACCAGTCATAAACTATTGCTCTATTATGCCATTTCAAGTCAAGCCAAGCTAACATTTTTTCATACACACATGATTGGTGACAATTCCACCGCAGAACACATGTAGCAGATAAGGATAAATAATAAAATATAAAATTACGAGCAGGTAGGTATGGAACAAAAATTCTCAGTAGGTTGATAGAGCTAGTTTCACTGAAAAATTTTACTAACCTTTTCGCATGATAAAACCTTGATCAGTTAAAAATATAACAAGTAAACGACAGCTGAGATACCATAGGTCCACAAGAAAACACATATGGTCTTTAACCCATGTCCGTTCTAAGATTCTGGTACGCATTCGCACAACCTCCTGTAGATTGTTTGGATAGCATCAAGAAGTATTTTGGATGCAATGATTTTGCAAGAATCAAGATGATTGGATCCAATAATGTTAAAATTTCCAACCTTGCAGTGATGCTAAACCGAAGTAGATGTCTCAAAGACATGGGAATAAATTTGAGGTCTTTACTGATTAGACTTTAGAATATCACGGGATTTTGGTAGCCCCGTAGGATCCTTGGGATCAAATACTAGGCATAAAAGGATACCTGCGACTAACAACACTTCATCCACATGAGTGGACCACATAAGTCAGTGCCCAGTGTCACTCCCTGGTATTACACGAGGTGGAGTCGTTCAAAATTTTACCACTTGTGCAAAGGTATGGGCACTGTGCTAGGATTTACAGTTAACGATTTCCTTTAAACGGTGAAAATCATCTTTGTATTTAGAGGTTTTCACCGATGGAAATCAGATTTGGATCGAGTTGAGGGCTCATCCAGGAAGGATTATAATTTGTTTGATGACAGTAGGTTGGATGATATACACCCATAATTACCGCATCATATTCTCCATCAAAATGGCCTTCTATGAAGAGTATTCAGCTAATAGAAGTTAAAATGGGAAGGGAGACTAATTTTCTCCAGAATTTGTATTGACTGACAAACAGCTTTTCCGCAAACAGCTGATAAGCTGGACGTGTTGGGCAAAATAATCCCTTGGTAGAATGAGTGCGGAGTGGTAAACCCCAGAACCCAACGAATCTCGTAACAGCAGTTCACGATAGCAAATGCATGGCTGCGATGCCACTTGTGATCGAATAGGACTGGACTTGATTTAAACTGACTTGGATAAAGTAAGTTCATCACAGAGGGCTTTAAGCAATTCGAAATTTGAAGTGTGTAAAAGTAATTTAGTGTGCATGGGTATAAATCTTCCTTGAATATATCAGTGAAAAACGATGGACGGGAATACAATCGAAAGTTGAAACCTTGTCTATATCTCATGTACGAATGGCAAGTGGAATTACCCAAATTACCCCAGTGCGCATACTTTCCACATTACTTAGCGGTAGAAAGTCGGTTTATCTAAACATCGACCTAGTGCCTTCATATGCTTATCTAATGAACGCAAGTTATTATTCATTGTTTATTGAGACTGTAAGATGCTACGATATAGTTGTCAGTAAGCTCGCACCAGTCATTTGTCCAGCCACCATTCTTGAATGTCACCTGCAGTCGGTCTGTAAACATGCGGCCACTCAAGACCAAGTAAATGGTTGAAGGTGACTAGGTTTCGGGGCTGAGCGTAATGAATTTACGGAGGTGCAGTGCGATTGGGAACACAATGAGATGTAATAACATTTCTCCCCTTTAAGTAACGCTTTAGATGTAGTCCCGATAGGACTGAACGAGCATGCAGAGCGAAGGACCAAACAGCCTTTTGGAGGCTGACCTTGAAGGATTTGGTTACTAGACATTGCAGACATAGTCGTTTTTCATGCCGCTGTTGATTGAATGTTAATGTCACTACACTGAGCTCTCTTGCTGTTTAGTTAACTGACTTAGAAGAGGAACATCATGTACACTGAAACATCGTCATCCCCGGAGAGCAGTGAACAGTTATCGCGGAAGCAACTGGAAAATGCAGTCCATACAACTCAATCGGAATACGAACAACATGAAAGAAATGTATTCCTCACCTGTTGATATTCTTTAAGTTCTCATTTGACAATGAAAATATCATGGCTGCAGTGCCACTGGACTTAAACAAAGCGATATGTTATCACCAGATAATTGTATCCTGAATCGAGTGACAGTGAAGTATGAATCCAGCGACGTTTTGTACTTTTACACAGTGATTTACCTCCAAAGCATGTTCCATTAGACTGTTCCAAACATTTGCCACTCTCCGTTAGAAGATCAGGTGTGGATTACTCGCTTCATATCTGGCACCGATGTCCTCGTGTGCTGCATAACGTTGGCAAGTAAAGCGGCGGCCTCAACATGAGCTGGTCATCGAGATGTACTATGCGGTGGATCGCGATGAGAGCGACTCGCAACCGACGATGAGACAAGTTGTTGAGTCTTAGTTTGTCACACCGGTCTTCATATGAAAATTCTCATTAACGCGGAATGAACCTGGTAGCGATTTGTTAGGCAGGTTCGATATTCTGTGCTTCGCGTCTGGTGATTGGACAATAGGCCGATGATCGATACTCTAGCATCATTCTAATGTTAGAGACGAGTGGCGACCTAGTTAGATTAAGCACAAAGGTTGTTTTCGGACGCTTAAGGTATGCGCAATCTGTTAAAATATGTCGGTTAGTATTTTCCACCGACTTCAATTTCCAGGGCGAGAGTACATCCATGTCCATCACGAAAGGCGTAGAATATAGCGACTGGCTGTTTAGGGTGTGAGTTCGGCCTTTACCATCCATTCCCAGGTTCATGAATCGCTACTTATTTAGGTCGGCCAGGAGGCGAACTTCTGCAGACCAAGTAGAGAGGCGATTTAGGTCTTGGTGAAGTAGGACAAGATTGTTGCGAGTGCTAATCTCTCTGAAAATATTCATGTAGTAGGCAAACAAGGCACAGGATGACCGAAGAAGCTGAGGTAGATCGTTGATATTGATTAGGGTCAGTTAACCCCCAGTACTACGCTTAGGGTACGCCACTGGTAGAGGGATACTAGTCAGTTGGATGACCAGCGACCTGTACCTTTCCATTCCGCACAATGAGAAGTTCCCGGATACGCTGTTGCAGTGGTCTAGCAACCCCACACACTTTCAGCT